GGTGGTTGACACAGTGACTGCTGTCGAGCGGTGTTAGTTAAGTCGCTTGTATTATGACCACTCCCTTTGCTTGATATGTCTGCTTTTCTGCCGACTGGCTCGACAACGGAATAGCACTCAAAAGTTGCGTTTTTTAATGCTGATTTCAGATGTGTCCTCGTTTTTGCGATCAGACAAAGCCTTCATGACCCTCCTGGCCGTTTTATGCAAAAAAGCGGTGTTCTTCATGTTTTACAGTGTTTAGGCTCCCGGATAGCCTCCACGTCGTCGGTCAAGGTAGGTGACAGTTGAGTTGTCTTCAGTAACATAAAAGACAACACTCTGAGCCTTGAGGGGTCGTGGGTCACCCCTCTAATGTGCTAAAGACCTGAAAAACTGAATTTTTTAAGTCAAAATTCACTCGAATTTTAACATTTTTTCACCGTTTTTCAACTTTTACGAGAGCACACGGGCCCGAGGCCATAACTAACGTAGATCGAAAGGTATCATGGGTATAAGAAAAGTCACTCAGCCCCTGACCGGGCCCGGAGAGGCGCTGGGGGGAGCGAGAGAGGCGGTGCGAAAATGTCCAAAATGACCGAAATCAGCTGATTGGGCCGCCTGGGACGGCCTGTGTGATAATGAGAGCGTGTCGCCGCACCGGTCACGACGCTTCGCCCGCTGCCCGCCCAGCCAGCCCGCTAGTCAGCCGGCGCTGCGTAAGACAGCGAGAGGGACAGAGCGACGGGAGCCGTCCAAACCGCGATGCAGGGCGGGCAGGCAGCAAGCGATTCCGAAGAATCCGTCGCTGCCTCTCTCGCACCCCGGAGGCAGAGCGACGAAGGAGGGGTAGTGGCGTGTGTTGAGTTGCCTAGCCACAGCAAGGCAAGGCGTCTGTCGTGCATACGTGGACTTCCAATAATATCATGCGAGAAAATGGTAACTCATGGGACTAAAGTACCTTTTTTATGCCTTTGTTGTTGTTGTTGTTTGAGGACCGCAGTTCAAACTCTTTTAAAATTTTGGCCACTTCCACAGCAAGCCAATTCTAAAGGAACAGCATTTTACCAATTCTACAGCAAGTGCGTGTGTCGCCCTCGTAGACGCTGGAGGGCAAAACCGGCAAACTCACGGTCCATGGTCGCGGGATCAAGCCAAGTGGCCGCGACGCCGAGAAACCCCCTGCGGAACTTCGACCACCCGTGCGTTCAGGCAAGACATACTCAATGTCGGATAGCGCCTTCTTCAAATAGCATTTTGTGCTGTGTAAATGTACTGGAGTAGCGGAAGGGGTCACGCTTCAAGGCCCCAGCGGAACCTCGATGGTGATTCATACCTGGGGAACCTCAGCCAGAAACTTCTTAGAACTCAAAATCTAAGATTTGCCTGTTTTCGGTGTACCCTATAGTTCAGTCAGACTCCCTCCAAAGCTATACCTGAGCACCGATCACATCCGCTTCGATTGTTAAGGGACCCTCTACTTGAAGTGAAAGAGGGGCCATACTCAGATTTTCCTCTGCTCCCTCCATTTAATTAATAAACGCATTTGTTACGAATCGCCCCTGTTACGAATCGCCCCACTTTTCCTTACATTAACCACTTTGTTTTAAAAATCATCCTAGAAGAACCCTTTTTCCCATTGATAATAAGTGTTTTTCCCACGATTAAGTGAAAGGACTCTGTAACAGTAGGAACTTCGTCAAAATTTGACCAAAAAATGATGTCAATGGCGCTACCGTAGAACGGGGTAATATGAGACAAATTTCGAGGTTTTTTGTAAATTTCCCCCTTTTAATTTCAACTTGAGGTGCTGAGGTGTTCATCACTTGTTCATTAACCATTTAGCTACACTCCCTCCAAATTTCAGATTTTTAGGTGCAGTAGGGACCTTTCAATAACCCTCGGAATGCCGTCCCATATTTCCCTGCAATGTGGGGTAATATGAGACAAAAGAGAAAAATGGTAAAGAAGTATGGAAAATTAACTCATTTAGGCGGGTTTGGAGCTTTTTAAGTTCTTTTCATTCATTTTTAAGATGATTGGGGACCATAATGAAGAAGAGATAAAATTTGGAGGGAAGAAAAATGGGTGTCACTAAAGAGAGCTGAAAAATTTCTAAGAAGTCATGAGTTGTGCCTGTCACATGAAAATACTAATCGAAGAGCATACATGCCGGTCAGGTAGTAAAACCAATTCGTGTTAAAATCATTATTACTTGAAATTAATAACAGTGGAGTATGTTTGGCCTCATGTTTGAAACGAAAAGAGGTGTCTCTATTTTCCGTGCAAGGTAACAAAATTGTACTCCATCTGGAACAGGCGGCCCGGGAGTAGACATAACAGAACCAAATTTTGTCCTGATTATGTTGACATGATTGTCTACAGATTTAAACCTCGTTCGGACGAGAACCCGAGTTCCAACCGAGGTTTCTGGGGAGGTTTTTACGAACTTTATAAAACTTGTCAGAATTTAGAGGATTTTCTTTTGGTTCTTAATAATCCTGGCGAGTCTCCGATTGCCTTCGTGCGTTTCCTGTGAGCTGCCAAGGCCTCCTAGATCACGAAAAAAAATTCACGATGGTCTTCTGAACAACTGCTTGAGAGCAACACGACAAAAACCAAAAAAAGGGCGCTTTGTCCCGATTTTCCTTCATGTCTCATATTACCCCGTTCTACGGTACTGCCCCTTAACATAAGTTCACATGGGACAAGCACGGACGTTCCGTCCACCGTTCTTCTGCATTGCATGTGCCAACTTTTTTTTCACAGTGGACGTCGTGCGAAAATACGATGTTGTGTTTTTAGTATAGTGCGCTTTTTATCACCTTTCCCAGAAACACGACGATTTGTCACGACGTCCTCCATGCCTGGCCAAAAGTATAACAGGTTATGGTGTTTGCAGTGAGTCCATTTGGATGGTTATCCTATGAAGCGTTAGTTAGGAGTGTGATACACCGTCATTTCACCTTCAAGAGGACTCTTCACTCCACATTGATCCTCTATGATTTCTGAAAGTCTCAGATTGACCTTGTCAACGGACAGGGAAAGGAGAAGGGTGCGTGTAAACACTGTTCGAAATTTTTTCGTAAATTTACAAAGATTTCACTGGAAATTTTTATAAACGAGAGCTTTGTAAAACGTAGTTTTACAAAGTTTTACAAAGTTTTACAGTCAAGTGTGCTTGACAAGCATACATCTATAGATGTGTACTTGGGCAAGCATGCATCTATAGCTGTGTACTTGGAGAAGCTTGCATTCATCTCACCCATTTAAAAGCATACAGCCAGATGCATGCTTGCCCAAGTACACATCTATAGATGCATGCTTACCCAAGTACACTTCTATAGATGTATGCTTGACAAGCACACTCCTATAGATGCATGCTTCCAAGCATACTCCCACAGCTGTGTACTAAGCACACATTTGATTTTGTAGTGTACTTGGTAACTTCCGCATGACGTGATCCACATTCAGAGAGACTGAGACTGTCACTGAAACAATCAGAAAAATTGACGACAAATTAGCTGCTGTTAGCTGCTTTAGCTGCTCAATGTCAGGTAGAGATGATGGAATGCACACGTTGGGTGAAGGTACTTAAGAACGCCAGTCAGCATTGTTGTCAACTTGGTTGTCTATGGTAATAATCAAATCAATAGTGTGTTTTTTTTTTAAATAAAACAGTTGTGCTTTATGTACTTTACTCCATTAATCCACAAATGTTGAATAATACCACACAATAATAGTGCATATTGAAAATCAACGTTAAAAATATGTTGAAACATATTAAAACCAGTACCATAATCCATTTTACTAACTTGAATTGGAATTTCATGTCTGGGTTGTTTAGCTCAGCCTTGAGTGTTAGCTCTGCCTAGTTACTACCTGGTTACCTAGTTACTACCTCGATTTTCGGGGGCCTGTTGTAGGTGTCATTCTAAACGCAACCCTGCAGAGGAACGAGAGGCAGTTGCAAACTTGTCAGCTTCACGTCTAACAGTCAATGGGGCAGTCTAAGCGAGGAAAGACAGACATTTAGAATCTGGCCCCCTGGTCTTAAGATATAGACCCACAAACAGAAATGATCCATATTTGGTACCCCGATCCATGTTCGGAACTTTACCCTAAAGGCCGTAAATTTACCACCTTTCACAGCTGTGTCGCATTAAATGTTCACTCCAAACGGAACATTCAAGGCACAACTGTGGAAGGTGGTAAATTTATTGCCTTCAAAGGGTGGTAATTTTAGTACACTCTAAATGTCTTACAATGAAATTTGACCTATGTTATTCGTATGTTACAGTGAATACGGCGCAAGCATACACTGTGGCAAAAACCTACGGAAAATTCTGTAAGCAGATTGTGGGAATTCTCCGTAGCCCCCTTATCAATATTCTCCGTAGGCTCTTACAGTATTTTCCGTAGGACCGCACAGTGTTCTCCGTAGGACCTTACAGTGATCTCCGTCGGACTATACAGTCTTCCAGGTCCTACGGAGAAGACTGTGCGGACTTACAGAGAATACTGTACGGCCCTACGGAGAATTCTGTAAGAGCCTACGGAGAATATTGATAAGAGGGCTACGGAGAATCCTGGCAAAAAAATTAACAGAATTTTCCGTACCTTTTTGCCACAGTGTAATACGAAGCAATATTCCTTCGTAATACGAATCTTTTTAGCTTTTTCATTGTAAGATACACTCTCAGACTCGTATTGACTTTTTTTGTCAATTGTGTTACAAAGAAATGAAAACGTCAATGACTATTGACAGTATTGTCCTTTCACTATTGACAATTTAGGTATTTTCCCCTAGTGACTTTTTTTATGTACTATTTTGTCCTTAGACTATTGACTAAAATTTTCTATTTTATATCGACTATTTCCTTTGTACGCTATTTAGAAATTTGTTCTTACTATTGACAATTTTCTCCATAAACTACTTAGAAATTTGTTCGCCCGCGACTAGCAACGGTATGCCAGGCGCGAGAATTGTCGGCTGGTCCCAGAAAGAGCCCCTGAGAAGTGCAGGGTAGGCAAGCCCGCAACGCTGCGGTGTGTTGCGGCGCGGCCTACCCACGACTTCACAGGGGCCAAAGGCCCTCGGGTCATGCTGCACTTGGACCGAAGCTAGGTAAACGCCACAAATCAGTGAACTTAGCTCCCTTATTCCAAAGTGTGAGCATCTAGCCTGGGAGGCACTCGTGTCTTCATTCAAGTGAGTCATCTTTGGCCCTAAAATTATGTTTGTGCAACTGCTTGTTTCGTTCATGCACTGATTATTCTGTCTTCGTTTCGTCCACCCTGTACATAATCGGTGTCCTCTTTGCGATGTTATGCTTGACTTCGTTCAACTACGCCTCTTTTACCTATTTTTCGATCGCACTAACCCTACTTCATAAGCAAGACTCGCTTGTTTAGGTTTATTTTCGACCGCAGCAGTACTGTTCTAATCATTTTGATGTTTTTGGTTCCAGGGCTCGACTGGGGAGGCCAGTCTCAAGGTGCTCACTAAGAGAGACGTTTGTTTGGGACACAGCTGACAGTTCACTATTTACGGTGCCAACCAGAGGTCAACGAGCTTTAGTCTAATCAACCTCAGATAAAAGGTAAGAGAAGATTGTTGTCATGTGTCAGTAGGAGGTAACAATCATTTTTCGATTAATTTGCCACACCTTCTCACAGTGTGTCATTTGTAGTGATTGTAATGCTATCATATTTATCTATTTACCGTATTAATTTGTCGAGTATCCTGAATCTTAAAACGGCTCCTTAAAAAAATTTCAACTTTTATAGTAACAATTTTATTTATTTTTATCGACAGTTACTGGATATTCACAAACGTATTTAACTGAAGCATGACTTTGCTTGTTTTTAGGGCGACTCTCAACAAAAGGTGGAATCAAGACGGCAAGCTGCCTCCAGCTCCATATCTCAGTCGCAGTTCAGCTCTCACAGCAAGACTTGGTAATAAGAAAGGCACTCTGTTCTCAGTTCTGTATGGCTTCGATGAAACTGTTATTTAATTGAAAGAAAAATTTAGAGGACTGGACTTTAAATTCTTTTTATTACTGGAACTGTTTCACACCTACTTGGATCACGAGAAAAACCTGATCAATTCAACAAATTGTTCTACACTCATCAGTAATAAAATTCTAATATATTGAAGTCTTTTGATACACTTTCATTACATGCACAATTTAACACTAAAAAGGGACAGAAACAATCAAGAGATCACCATATTGTGGTAATGGTGAAAAGTTCTGGTTTCACTTGTCAAGATTGATTAAAAAGTAATGGAAGACATATCGCAAATCATTTTCTTGAAACACAAAAATAAAATCAGTTCAAGACATTAAACTAGCTGATGCTTAAAATCAATGTAGAAAATATTACTTACTAAAAAACACACATATAGATTAAAAAGGCCATTAAGAAAAATATTGGTTTCCATACAAAACCTTATACTTAAAACATTTGATTTCTTATTAATACCAGTGCTCCCTTTGCATTAGACAACCATAAACGAGCAAAAATATTACTTACTAAAACATATTCATTAAAAAGACCTCTAAGAAACAACTTGGCTTACATCAAAGAACTTATACTTTAAACATTTGATTTCTTATAAGTAATGGTGCCCACTTTTGCATAAGACAACTGAAAACAGTGTAATACAATAAAAAAGTAACTTTCTTTGGCAGGATCGTGGACCAATGATGACATTTCACACACAAGAGAACTCGATCATTTTGAGATCTAGAAAATGATAGTTCTAGGAGCAATGAATGTTGTTCTCTGACCCCAAGGATTCCATGGAGCATAGGCCCCATGCTTAGCAAGGCAACCATGAGTAACGATAAAGGGTAGAGTCACAAATGTACGTGTTACTTCATAGGCACAATATCGTTCAGTAAACTCAATAGTACGCCAACGATCAAGGACAAAAAACACTTGAGCTTCAAATGAGTACACCTTTTGGATCAGAGCAAACGTTGGAGTACTAGCTTCAGTCAGCACAAAGAGTCCAGGACGATAATCTTCTCCTGCAATTTGCACAGCATCCACATCAAAAACAATATCAGTGGGTTGAAGACCTTGCCCAAGGAGAAGCTCTCTGTGGCAGCATTGTCCCACAGAAACTTCATCATATGACTGAAGCTCAATTTCTTCTGCTCTGCATGATGTTTTCAGCAAACCTGCTAGTGTACTAATTTGGAACATTTGAGCCATTGATTTGACTATGTTAATGAAATTACAGCAAACAGCTCCATATTTACAGAAAATATGATGACGACCCTCGTATCTCATGCACCAATAGCGAATGAGACTTCCAAATTTCCTTATTTCTTCAGCCAGATGCTTCATGTGATGCAACTTGTTTCCAGGCTTTACCTTCTTCAAATTCTTTCTTTCTTCTACTCTTGCTGCTGCTGCTTCTGCTGGCATTCCTTCAGCAGAGTCACCATCATCTTCCTCCTCTGAATCACTGAGTTCATCAAGGACATTAGTCTGTGGAGTCATATACAATTCTTGAAAAAGACTATGATGTTGTGTAACCAAAGTATCCAGTAGATCAATATGATCAGGGCGAGCTCCTTCAGCAAATGAAATCAGCATGATCTGTTGTAGAAGATTGACTACTTTCAAAGGACGACTGCCTGCAGGCACATCAGCAACGAGGAATCCAAATGCTCTTGTAAGACACCACATCTGGCTGCCCTTTTGTTTAAGCTTGGATCCTTTCAACGAGTCCTCGGTAAAGTTAGCAGAAGGTTTGTTCTTGGAATCCGGAATGCCATAGTTGAATGCTGCAACTCGACTATTAAAGTCTTCAATGGTAAAATACTTATTTGCAACAAAGGACCGAAGAGCAAGTGAAACTACCCAGTGGCAAACTCCTTCCAAAAGATCATGTAGCAAGTCCAGGACTGCATCTTGGGTGGCATCAAAAGTCTTGGATGAGTGAAGTGGACAACTTGTACGAACACCACAGTTTGTTGAGAAGCGACTGTCCCGCTTCACTGCATCCACATGTTCATCAAACATGACTCGTGTTCTCTTCTCTCCCATCAGGTTTATGTTGGCACGGAAATCATCCCGAGAAATCATGCACTTCCTGCAGAAGTGGCGGGCTGACGGGGAAAGAAATCCAAGGATTTCATGTGCTGCCAATGTGTCAGCACACAGAACAGTCAGAGTTGCTCTCAAACAATAAGGTTGTCCATTACTTGAATCATCACACCCCGATCACTTTCCAGTCTTCTTAGTTCATACAAAAAAGGTGCAAGAATCTTTTCAAATCCACCTGGTATTTTCAGGTCTTGAGAAAATGCAAGAGCAAGTAGGTACACTGATGACAGTTGGGAGTTTTCAACCGCAGGCAGGTTTTGAATACTGAAATAAAAAGCTGCTATTTTATGCACTCATGTCTTTGAGCCAAGGGCATTTACCACTTCAACGTCGTCCCAGTAGATTTGGAGTCTTATAATTCCAGGGAATCTAATTACAAGCAGGTGCTCTTTACTTCTTGAGCCATCCAGGTAGTCACGCAAAACACCATCTTCAATGTGCCCTTCTTCCTCAATCAGCTTTCTTATTTTTGGATTGTTGAGAAGAGTGGTCAATGTCTCAATGAGAGAGAGATATTCAAAGCTCATTGGTACACGGGTCGGTTCATACTGAGCTGTAAGGGGATTCAATCTATAGTCAATGCGGTATTTGAGAAATTTTGTCTGAGGTTTAACAAGACCAAACTCTGTTGCGAAGAAACTAAGCTGCTGCTTTAAAGTTTTAATACCCTCAAAAGGATCTTCAACCGTCAACTCCCTCAACATATTCCTTGCATCTGCCGTGTACATATTCTGATCAACCAGAAATGTCTTCACTTTTCTCTTCATGGACTGTGCTACAACCGTGAGCATTCGGTTGGTTTCTTCTTGAAACCGCTCAATAGCGCTGCCAGTGATGGCACCTGATTGACGCAAGTTTAAAATCATTTCACCAGCTGTTCGTTTTAAGTTGAACTCAACATCTTCATCTGAAGAGTCACTTAGCTCTTGATCCTCTTCTGGTATACCATCAGGTTCACCTGCTGCAAAGTTTTGATCGCCAATAACATTTTCTGCGCCAAGACCAGCAGCACCAGCCACATTTCCTTCATTCGGTTCAACATCTGCTTGATAGTGAGAGTCTCTGATGTGACGCATGAGGGATGTTTGATGTTCATATTCTTGATCACATTCACCACAATGGAAGGGTGGAAGATGGCCTGCCTGTCTGATGTGGCGTCGAAACTCTGATGCTCCTACACTGGCATTTTGACATTCACCACATCTAAAAGACAGATAGACAAAAAAATAATAATTAGATTTTCAACATTTAAATCAAGTACATGTTAGTTAAACAAATACTTACTGAAACACATGGTGATTATCTTGTGGGTTCCCAGCCATAATGAGGAGCAGCAATACACAGCCAAGCAGTATCCCAGATAAGGACAGGGAGTCTAGAACTCCTCTCCGGCACCTGTTCAAAAAGATACACTTCTTTGAGACAACAAAACGAGGTTAGTTGCCACACATAAAAGTAGCCCGAGCAAAGGGTATCCACACGACCCATCAAAATTGAATTGAAGGACATTAAAAACACCTCAAATGCGTGATTTCACTATGACTCTAAAGGTCAATTAGGTCACGATTAACAGGAAAACCAGGTTTGCAGCAGACATGGCAGGATTGGTTTAGAACAAACTTACCGACTATACCTTTCATTGTCTTTCTAAGACAATGTGGATGCAAGGGAAAACTCAGTCAGCTGTCACTTGACTGTACTCCCCACTCCGCCCCACCCCACCACTTCATGACTCCACGACCCACGTTGCTTACCTTTTACTGCACAGTACAGCCAGCAAGTGATAGATTCCGCGATACCGCTTGCGTCAAAGGACCAAGCTCAGGCATCTGTAGTTAATTGGATACAGCGCATAGCACCCACTTGTTCACTCCAATCTTGCAACGAAATTGAATCCACTCCACCCGATCCTTGCACTCACTCATCAACTCCAATTAACAGATTTTGTAAAATTTCCACTCCTCGATATTTCATGCACATAGCACAACAGAGTTTCAGTTTTTGAGATGAATTGCAACCGAGTCGACTTCCTTGTCCACGTGTCACTGAACTCAAAACTAAATAATTTCAACAGTGAATAAACATAAGTCAGATATAAAACTTAAAACGGAACCGTCGTTTATCAACTGACAGTAGTTCAATAGAAAATTAGTATTCAGTTTGTGCATTCCTAACTGGCGCTCCAAACGAGCGGTACGTCGACTCACCTTCTTGCCTAGTCTTCTGTCAACAGAAGCCTCTATCAAAAAAACTCTGTCACTGTCATCCAACCATTGACCTAGCATGCAGCCCTCGCGTGCAGCAGCACTGTGAAACTCCACACACGCCTATGCTTCCTCTGACATAGCTAGAAGTCACGCGTGATTACTTGAAATTTAGTGATGTGCAATCGAGCATTGGGCGCGGCGGTACCGCCCACGAAAAGCACTGCGCGCCCGCACCGGCGACGTTCGGACACTCTAACCGACAGCCGATTGTCTCGTTTCGACTCTGTTCGCGCCTAAACGGCCTGTCACCCGACCTCACCCCTCGCTGTGCTCGACCCGAGTGCTGCCATCTAGGTGGCAAAACGCCGGTCGGCGCAGTAACTGGCCGCCCGGACTGAAATCTCGGCCTGCCCGCCCCGCCGACGAGCTGTTGGGCGGGCTGGGCGGCCGCTCGGCCAGCAAAGACTCCGCGCGCATGGCGTCGCGCCGCCCATTCGAACACTAACCTGAGGTACTTTCAAAATTATTGAAAAATACTCAAGAACCTTCTATTGAAGTGAAAGCCTTTCGTGATTTGTGCATTGTGTATGTTTGCGCTGTATTAGATGAATGCCGCTTATCTGTTCAGGTAACAAAGTAGGGTTATAAAATTTTTAATCTTTCTATTTTTAAACCAGATTTATTCTTTCGTTTGTCATACGTAAATAGCTTCTCTAACAAGTGTCATCTCTTTCAGCCAGCCATGGACAAGTTTAGCGCTGCTGAAATGCTATCATTTTTTAGACAATTTTGCCCTGATGTAGAAGCTGAAACGCTTGAAATCATTCGAAGTTAGTTTCCCCTTCCTCTATTGATTCTTTACCATGCTTTTCTGCTTTGCTTGGAAC